GCCAATCAGGCCTTCAGATTCGCCCAGCCAGGCAGTGGGAGTCCCGCAGGAACACGAGGCGCTGAATAATGGGACAGGGAGTCCGGGGCGTGATGCTGAGGAGGCTTTTTCCCACAATGAGTTTCGGAATCGTGGAGTCAGTAGAGAGGAAAGGATGAAGGGTGTGGCCAGAGCTGCCCCCCGCCCTTTCCCAGAAGGGGTCCGTGGTACAGAATAAAGACAACTGGCTTGAAGCAAGCCTTCTGGAAGAAGCCAACCGGTCACCTCAGATTCACTGCAGGGGCGGGGCGGGTGGGGGGAGGGGGGGAACAATACGATTCCAAGCGGGTCTGTTTTCTCTCGAATTTACAGCACCTAATGCCTGATGCCCGACCTGAGTCAAGAGCTGTCAGGACAAACCACTAAAGGGCTGCCCAGGGATGCAGTGGAGGACAAGACGGTGGCCAAGCTGTCCCCACCGCACCCAGCATCCCTGAGCCCAGCGGGCCCCATCCTGGGTGTAATGCAGAGGCAGCTCAGGGTATATACCAAGGGGGCCCCTGTCAGGCCCGGGCTGGGGTGGGGTTGGGGAGAGCACAGATTGACTAGAATCCCCTGAGAACTGAGGCACAGTGCAAAGGAGAAAAGGGTGGAGTTTCCTCTTCAGGCCTAGTCACTTTGCCTCCCTAGGGAGGAAGAAGGTATTGTGTCACTGCCAGCACCACTGACATCTTATTCCAAACGATGACACTGGGTTGGGTTGGGAGGGGTGGGGGGAAGGGGGAGAATTTCAGCACAGACCCCGGCTGGGAGACGGCCCCCAGTGAGAACCTCCCTTACAGTTGTCCTAGACAGGGTCTGGGTCGTGTCCCAAGCCCTGGCTCATGACAAGGTGTGGAGCCTCACCAGCGCCCACCGCCCACCTAGCCAATCTTCAGGCTGTCAGCCAGGCAGATCAAGTGGTGAGGGTAAGAGAGTGCGGGCCCCAGGAGCCCAACAAGTTCTTCTCGGTCTCCCTCACTCCTCCGAAACTGCGGACCCCTAACAGTCTATCAAAGAGAGAGCTGTCCACGTGGCCAGTCACAGAACCCACGTACAAGACCACAGTGACGTCATCCAAACAGAGCAGAAGGCTGGCGCCACCCCCGTCCTCATTGGATGATGCTGTCGGGCTGCCCGTTCTGGGCCACCTGTCCGGGGTCAGAGGCGGGAGCGGGGTTGGGCGTGTTGCTCTGCAGGTAGCGGCGGAAATCTTTGATCATGGGCCGGAGGACCTGGATGAGGACACTCAGCGCTGCCTGGGTGCCCTCCATGGCCTGGGCCTGGCGCTCCTGGGCGCAGGCCTGGACCTCCTGGGAGCGGCGGATCATCTGCAGTAGGTCGTTCTGCTGCTCCAGGTGCTGGGCGATCTCCTTCACGTGCAGATTGGTAACTCGCTGCTCCTGGATCAGCTTGGCGGAGTTGAGGGCAATGCGGCTCTTGAGCGCCTGGGGTTTGACCGAGGTATCAGCGTGCTGAGCCATCATCTCCACGGGGGCCTCGGCGGGCAGGGGTGGGGGCGCCTCAGCGGTACAGTACTCCACCACTCCCTCCTCCAGCGTGTGATAGGTGGTCTCCGTGGGGACTGTGGGGGAAGAAAGAGCAAAGGCAGTGGCAGGTCACCTGCTGAAAAGAATGAAGCTGGCCACACAGGGCAGGGAGGAGGCCGTTAAGCCCTATTCTGGGGGAATTCAGGTCCTTTGGCTTTAGAGCTCTTCTTGCATAAATCTAGAATCTAAAGCGTTTAGAATCTACTTGGTAACCATAGGACCAGTCCCAGATCAGGCAAAAGCAAAGATGCTGATAACAATGCTGGTGCACAGAGCGCCTACTATGTGCCAGGCACCGTGCTAAGCCCTTTGCACGCGTTAGCTCGACGAATCCTCAGAATGACACAGAGAGGCAGGCACTGTCGTGTTCCGTTTTGGAGATGGGGAAACAGACTCAAAAACGTGGAGTACTCGCCCAAGGTTACACAGTTTATTCAACAGGCCCAGGAAGCAAGCTCAGGTCTCCCTAACACCGGAGTCCAACTTGCTCAGAACCACCGCACTGGGATGCTTCCAGCCGATAAAGGCAGGGCCACATGCTCTCCAGTGCCAGCACTCAGCAGCCATCTTGGGTGGGACTCTGCTTGAAGCGTTTGCAGCCACACTTGCCTTATCTCCCTCCTTCTTTTATGGCCAAGCAGTTGCTGAAGTGCCCAATAAATGCCTCCTGTCTCCTTGGCCAAAGGAATACCTAGAGGTCCTTCCTGTTCTAGAGCAGCAACTGCTTTAGACTAGTGTTCGATCCTCTTTCCCACCTGCTATCCTTAGAAAATATGGCTGCAGGGGGGGATGGCACTCACACACACACCCAATTCCCCAGAGCCCCACTGAGGATCACTGACTGATACAGGCCAATAGCCCAGCACAAACAAGCAGTTCACGGTCACTGGTACAAACCCTTATCTGAACTGAAAAATCCAACCAAACCATCGTCATTCATAGCTGAGAAACTTTGAAGGAATTCTGGGTGGGCTGTTTGGGCCTCCACGCCTGTGGGAAAGGTCAATTTTCTCTATCCTTCAGTGCCAACATCAGCTCTGGGTCCCCACCCCGATCAGGAAGCCCCTTCCTTCTGAGTTCTTAGGTTCTCCTGACTGACACTACGGTTATTCATGTGTGTCTTATCTGTCCTACTAGAATATAGCTGGCCTATATTTTAAACACCTTGGGAATCCAAATCCCGGTGCCAAGCACAATGTTTGAATGGAGTAAGTGCTGGTGTTTGAGGAGTGAACGAACAGATTAACGCTAGGAACCATGAGGTTTCTGAGCAATGCCTGATGAACGTTTGCCGCACTGAAAACCCAGAACGTCTTTGTCCAGAATCGATGCCTTACTTGGGTATTATTATTCCCATCTATCTGTCCATTCGACAAATATGTCCTGACTGCCTACTATGTGCCAGTCCCTGTGATAAGTCCCGTGGGGATACAGACATGGTCTCTGTCTTCAAGGACCACAGAGTTCAGTCAGTCATGGACACGAATGATGGCAAAACAGTTGAGAGCAATCCAGCCCATCAGAAGTCCAGACTGTGTGCTGAGGAAGTCCCAAAGAGAGTGAGATCACTTCTGTCTGCGGAGCTCTTGGAAGGCCGGGTGGTCTTCCAAGACTCCCATCTGACCTTTGACCCTTGGCAGCCAACCTTCCCCGGGCTGCCCCAGCTCTGGCTGGCCCTTCCCATTTATGCACGACGGACTGGGCGGGAGAGGTCACTCACTCTGTGTCAGGGTGACCGTGGCTGCGGCTGCAGTGGCTGTGGGTCCAAGGGCCACGGGGTGGATCTCTGTGGTACTGGGCAAGCTGATGATGGTAGCCTCGCCCAGCAGGTTGCAGATGCGCTGTTGCATGGGGGTGAGCAGGACGGGGGCTACAGCTGGGCCACCGCCGCCACTGCCACCACCTGTCCCAGGCCCACCGGCTCCATCCTCCTCTGTGGGCCCTGGGGCCTCGCCACCCTCCACCGCTGCCCGGACCTGGGCAACCTTGCGACGGACCTCGGTCTTGAGGTCAGACCACTTCTTCTTGACCTCAGGCAGCTCCCTGCGGCAGGTGGCCACCGCGTTGACCCTTCTTAAGATGCCGTGCCAGGCCGCACTCTTGGCAGCCAGAGGGACCCCGGCGTTGAAGTGGTTCACCAGCAGGTGCTTCTTCAGTTCCAGCTCCTCTACGATGATTTCCACCTCTCGCTCAGAGAAGTTCATCTTCCTCTTCTTGGCTGGGACGGCCATGGCCTCTCCCCACCCTCCCTTTTTAAAGAAATTATAATCCCCCCAGCCGCCCCAATTCCCCTTCTCTTCTTCCTCAACCTCGCCTCTCACCCACCCCCCTACAGGGGATAGGCCGGGCTTGCCCAAGGCCAAGCACCAGGCCTTTGGTAACCCCCCTCGCTACGCAAAGTGCGTAGGGCCCAGCCCCGACCGGCCCGGCCGCTGCCAGCCAGCTGCGTAATGGCTTCCTGAATCTGCCTCTTCCGCCGGGGCGTGCGGAGATCCGCCCACTTCCCCTTTTCCCGCCTCCCACACCTTCTCCCGGGGAACGTGCCCTCCTGGTTGGCCGCGGCTCAGGCATCACGTCGATCACTGGTTCTTGTGATGTGTCGCTCAGCTAAAGGACACGCCTATTTGCTGGAATTGGCCTGATCATTGGTCTGTCGCTACAGAGCGCTCCGCCCACCTGCCTTTATTCACTTCCATTGGAAAATCGTTCTGTCCTTCAATCGTCAGTATTACGACTATTAAACGCCGTTAAATTCAGCTATTTTATTGGTGGTTTAGGGAGTTCGATTACCGAAACCCGGCCTCCTGAGGATACCTAGTGCTTTTGGCCTTGAGCCACTGGCCAATTAATTTTTAATTCTACTCACGGGGGCCAACTCTGCCTTGCAGCCTCAGCTCACAAGTGCTCTTCACACAAATCCTACTTCCCACCCGAGACTACGATATCTCCGTACATGACCGCTCCTCCCAGCCTTACGATTCCTCAGCCTAAACAGCGTTTCTCAATGGAAATTGGACACGGGGCCTTCCGCCTGCTAGTCACATAACTTCTGCCTATCACGGCGTGACTTCCTCTCTCTGGCCCAGTTCAGCCAATCCCCACCTCTTTCAATTTGAATCGGCCGCAGGCTGAGCAGGGATCGCCCCGCCTTCTCCATTGATCCGCGCAGTGCCCGCGGCGTGCGCGGTCCTCGGGGAGGCTCCGCCCCGCCCAGGTGGCCGTCGGGGCCTGTGACTGGCCCACGGCGCGCCTGGGGGCGTGGCCAACAAGGCGGCGCGCGGCGGGGCGGGGCTCCCGGAAGCGGCCCCTCCCGCCCCCTTGCCGGCTTCTTCCATCCCGCGCTCGCCGTCTGGGGACTCCAGCGTGTCTTCCGCGTTCTCCCCGCCGGCCAGCCGCCCCCGCCTCGCGCCCGGCGCCCCTGTCTCGCGCCCGATGGTGAGCAGTGTGTTGTGCCGCTGCGTGGCTTCCCCGCCGCCGGACGCCGCCACCGCCGCCTCGTCGTCCGCCTCGTCGCCGGCGTCCGTGGACCCGTGCGGCGGCGCCGTCTGCGGGGGCCCGGACCACCGGCTGCGCCTGTGGAGCCTCTTCCAGACCCTCGACGTCAACCGTGACGGCGGCCTGTGTGTCAACGACTTGGCCGTGGGACTGCGGCGCCTGGGACTGCACCGCACCGAGGGCGAGCTTCGGGTAGGCGGCGCGCACAGTCCGCGCGGTCTGGGAGGGGGCTTCTTCGCGCCGCAGCTCCGGGGGCTCGGGGTGACAGGTCTGGCTGCTTGGTGACAGGTCTGAACAGCCCGGCTTCTTGAGCAGCCCCTGGGAGCGTGGCAGGTCTGGTGGACCGCCTGTTGGGCTGGGTAGAACACCCAATTTGTGCCTTGGTGGGAGTGGAGCTGCTTCTTGACCTCTGTGGGTGCTTGGGCCAGGGGGAAAGGCTCTCCGTGGGCACAGGTGGGCACCGTCTGGGGCTGTCTGGTGGGCAATAGCCCTTTTTGCTTAGGCTTTCCCCAGAGTAGAAGGCCAAGTCTCGGGAGTCGCCTTTTGTCACCCACTGACCTTCCAAGCTAAGCTTGATGCTCTCCCCTACCCCCCATGGACTATTTCATCCATCCTCCAGTGGCACCCCTCCCTTCCCTTCTCGTTTCCATGCCAGCCGTGGGCCCTGATCTGGTTCCTCTCAGAAGCATGTGGGAGTTAGAAAAAATGGGAACTGGGATTTGAGGCAGCTCTGTGAGGATGTGGGTGAAGACTGACAGTTCTCATCGTTTAGGCTCATCCCCATTGACGTGCTTATCCAGAAGATGGGATCGTGATCTAGAGTGAAAGAATCTGGGGGGAAAGTCTTCCTAAAAGTGAAAGTGTTGCAAACCTAGGATGTTGTTATTCCTGTTCTGGAGTGGGCTTTGGCCAAGGAGGATGGGGGGACAGAAGATGGATGGGGGGCCATAAAGAAAAGTGCTGTCCTTTCTTTATAAGAACCTCAAGCAGAGGCTGTCCCTTCCCCTTCTGTCTCTCATGGTGTTTTCCTGGCCCAGCCTGACTTGGTAGTCTCAGGCACTCTTCCCAAGTGTTTGATTCAGTGTGGCTTAACCTGATTTCCAGCCTGGACTAGAACTTCCGAGTGCTTTACCTAGTAACCTGTTTCTCTTGTGAGTTTAGTTTGTTTGGACCATTTGCACGTAAAACAGTTGGAGAATCTCTCATCAAGTATGAAAAAAAAAGTCTGATAATACACCAGTGAATTAAATCCATTTGTTGGTTGGGTGGGTATCTGTAAGGTGTTTTTAACTCCTGCCCACAGTATATTGGATCAACATCTAAGGTATTTAACCCACTTAGGATCAGCCTAGGAAGACCAAAAGTAACACTGTGCAAGATAGAATCTTTGGGTAAGTCCAAGAGGCTTAGAGACCAGTTTAAGTTTTTTTTCTTCTTCTGAGTTTTACACAAAATGGCATTGTGAGCTAGATATTTTCCCATACACATCTGATGAATAAGTCACTTGGAAAGACAGGATGGCTAAACTCAGAGGGTCTGGGCTCAGTGAAGTGTGAGCCTATGTGAACCTTTCTGCTTTCGTGGACCTACCCACCTGACGTATGTTGCCAGGCACATCGAGGGCATCTGGCTGCAGGAGTTACTCAATATTTTTATGCCATGCTTTGTGCCACAACTGTAATTCATGATACATCTGATATTGATGCTCATCTTTTTTTTTTTTTTTTCTTTTTTTTGGTAGTAAATTTGTAATGGCATATAAGGAGAAAGTGACCATTTTTCTTTCAGGTGTTAAAAGAAAACTTTTTCAATTAACCAAAGGGAGCTTTGCCCCTTGGGGTCACATTGGCTCTAAAATCTTGGGCTCTGACTTATCTCAGTTCTGTGACATGAAAACAATTCCTTATTACTCTTTTGGTGTGTAGATTTAGTGTGAACTCGATTTCCACACCTCTTTCAGCTTGAGACACACAGAATGAACCAATTTACATCCAAGTTACCGCTTACATCCAAGAGCCACTTACATCCAAGTTCATCCTGTGGCAAATGGTTGAAGTATTAGAGAACCTCCTTTTTTTGTAAATAAGTGGGCCACAGGAAGACATACTCCCTCATGAACCCCCCCCATACCACTTCCTGTCGAAATTCTATCAGCTAATGCTACATACAGAAAAAGCGGTGTTGCAGTTTTGCAGAGCTAGCAAAACCAAAAGAGAATTTGGGGGCCCTTCTGTCCGAAATGGGGCATTGGAAAACACCATATCAAATTTTGGTAGCTTCTTCACGTGACCCAGAGGGTCAGTCTGAGATGCAAGGGTTTGTGCAGGAATCCACTGTGAGTGCTTATCAGTGGGTGGTGGTGAACCCAGGCCATGTGACTACACAAAGCCTCTTGCTGGCTTACAACAGGTCAAGCCAAGTTTTCTTTAGACACGAACCAGCCGTTTTTTGGCACCTGCCTTTATTTCAGAAGAAATTGGGACAGCTGAGGGAAAATAACTTAAAATGGAAGTGGGCAGAGAAACCCATGGCAGCCAGCCAGGGAAATCTTCTTTGTAAAGGGCATGTGAGCCAGAAGCCCGTCCTAGGACAAAAGAGGGGCAGGGCTTGTTAAAGAAAGAAAAGGGATGACGACAACAGTAGTGACTTTGGGAGATGAGGCTTCAGCTGGAGCTAATTATAGATTGCCTATTTCGGCAGTTGCATGTGACCAAACACCATCTTTGTTTTAAAACAAATTTGAAACCTCGGTTAGAGCTCAGGCAGCCAATTAGAGAACGCAATCTGGGTGACATGGAAACAGTTGTCCCTTCAGCTGAGGCTTGTGGGCCCTCTTAAGGGACTGGTGTTTCATGCAGGTGAGGATTCCAGAAGACCTGTTGAGTTTGCTCACTCAAAAGACTGGCATATGCGCCATGGAGTTTGAGCTCCACAATGACGTGGTGAAGGAAGCAAGACCGTGTTTTCACCCCATTTTACAGAGCAAGGAACAGAGGGCCGAAAAGACCATTTGGCCACTGAGGAATTACGCCAGAGAAGCAACTGGAACTGTCTTCTGATTCCTGCTCCACTCCTCTCTAACTCTACCTGTTTCTGAGGGACACACAGAGAGTTCCATCCCGGGCCCACAAAAGATGAGGAGAGATCCATTTAGAACCACGTCTGTTATTCCCCAAATAGATTTCAAGATTATCCAGAGATTATCCTATCCAAAACTGAGAATCCACCCTGCCCTAATTCTCCCCCTGACCTGAGCGGCATATAGTGAGGCAATATCTGTTGACTTGAAATAATTGAATAGAAGATTACCAATGTCAAGTTGGTATTGCTTAATCCCAGAAGGTACTGTTGAACTCTATACCTTTTCTTTATTCTCTTTCAAAGGTTTTATTTTTAAGTAATCTCTACACACAATGTGGGGCTTGAATTTATAGCCCTGAGTTCAAGAGTCACACGCTCTTCTCCCTGAGCCAGCCAGGTGCCCCGAACTCTATACCTTTTAAATGTTTGGCCTTTTGTGAGGAAGGTATTTACCTAGATAGCCAGACTTAGGTGAGATCATCTGCAGAAGAAAGAGCCTTATCATAGAAAGGGGATGGACAACATTTAATATAATATAATATAATATAATATAATATAATATAAT